TCCAGCGAGCACAGCCGCTGCTTCCTACAGTGATGCCTAGCCGCCCCTGGGTGAGAGTCGGTGTGGATATTTTTTTTCACTAAGGAGCACACTAACTTCTCCTCGTTAATTACTAGTCGGGGTACCCAGAAGTGCTGTCTCCCCGTATAAGCCTCCAGATTGGCCCTTGGCCCTCTTGCGCTAACGTAACCCCACAACCCCGCTCAACTGCTCATAACGCGCAGCCTCAGGACTCACCTCCCGGTCACAACGGCCACGTTGGTTCCAGGATCGCTTCTCGCTGCAGATTTCCACAGACGCGACACTGTCCAACTACGTCGCCAGAGTTAAAATTTTGGCCGTTGGCATGCTGCCGATGATTTTCGTCCCCTGGTGGAGGGGAAGAAAGTCTGGATATATGACGCAGATTGTGATGGCACCGTTCTTAGCCCAGCACAGCGTCCACGCTCCTACGTAGTCCAGACAGATGCAGGTGCCTTCGACCGCAACCGAAGACATCTGGTACCGCAGCAGTCTCCGTCAACGGGTGGTCGCGACCTCAGCAGCCTCGTCCGCGGCCACAGGGATCCCAATTTGCGCCACAAACTCCAACTCGCCCAGAGCCTGTGTGCAGCAGTCCAACTCCCAGGGCAGCTACTCTTCTACCAGCAGCATCACCACAGGTTGCCCCTGCTACTCCCACAAGACCGCCTGCGTTGGGTGTGCGCACTCGGTCTGGACCTTGGGTGCGGCTGAATTTGTAAGAGCACCATGTGGCATAGGTCAATATGTTAGATACCTGGGATCTAGGTTTGTCTTTCCTTTATTTTCCCAAAGAGGGATGTAGAGGGCGTGATTGCCCAGCCAACTATGGGGCTCCCTCTAGGTTGTAGGTAAAAAAAGTGCGCTGATAATAAACGGGGGCACTTCTGCCGGGGACTACGAGCGTTTGTCTTTCGTCCGCGGCCCACGGGCTTCGGCATGCATCCTCGGCCCCCTCGGCTCGAACCCACTCACTACAAACGCCCTCTTGACAATCCTGGATGACGGGGACAACCCGACCCGTCCCATGGCGGTTTATTCTCTCGGGATTTTATATAGTGACCTGGAGCCCTCGCAATCGCACCTCATTGGCGCCCGCGTGAAAACGGTTCCCCCTTTTTACAGAGCTGGCAATGAGACGTTTCGGCAGCTCCGCGCCTATGTATCAAAAGAAAACCCCCTTGAAGCTCCGGTAACTCGTCTTGTTGAGATCCTCTACTAGTCCCCCTTCCCGGCGCCATTGCTGGGACTTAGCCCGTCGTACACGGGGCCACATCTCTCTCACGGTAGCCTGCCTGGAGAAGTGTGGGACTTCCAGTGGAAGAAAGGTTGGGGAGCCTTACCAACCAAGGGCCGCTTTTACCGATGGGGTGTGCTGAATGACGTTCAGTGTCCCAGCTGCAGCGCAGTGGAGACAAACGTCCACGTGGTGCCGTAATGCGTGAGAGCGCAGTTTTTGTGACGCCTTGCAGCGCATGCCTTCCCTGACGCTGGTGTGCGCCCTCATGTCATTCAGGGTCGTCGGCCCCAAGGTAATTTTGCGCTCCTTGTAATCGCACTGACCAAATCGGTCCTGTGGCACAACCGTTACTCCTCGAAGGTACAGCAGCTTTGCCACCGGGCGATGTGGGCGCTATGATGGCGTCTGCGACGCGAGCTGGCCACTTTATTGGGAGCGCGAGTTCCTGCGGCGCTGATCGTGCCAATGCCAGACGGTACTCAACGGTCAGGTGCACATGACCTGCCTGTCCTTGGACATGTTGTGATACGGGCACTCGTTGGTCCCGCCCCGCCGGCTGCGACGTCCCAAATGATCATTGCGTCGCGTGACTTTTATTTTGTGCAGAGCATGCATTACCTGTGACAATGTAATATTTTAAAACCTAGCAATGGTGTGCAAATAAACTTGTCTTAGCCTGAATCTATTCAACCTTAGTATATGTTTCTGCGCCAAAGTGGCCGATCAAAGCCCAAACTGAACAGTACCAGCGAACGCAATCGAATGCAGAGAACCGAAGCTTCCAAGCTTCGTTTAAGAAACGAGTTGCCGTGCAGCAGTCGCGATTCCAATATTGCGCTGCCCTGTGCGGTCGAAGCGAAGCGCGTAAGTGTAGCGTTCGTACTCGTGTGACCTCTTAAATTTACATCCCTGGTCTGTGGCAACACTGGTTTGTTATGAAAGTTATTTACTTTGTCACGAGCAGTGCTTAACTTGCTCCTCGTTGTCTCGTCTTTCTTTCTTGCCTCGAAACACCTCGAAGTCGAAAGTTAAGCTTAGCATAGTTTTAAACGCAGCACCAGCACAGCCGGAGTAAGCAAACGAGCCGGAAATCTTTGGCCAACTGGATTAGCGGCTACTTGTTATAACAAGCTAGAGATAATCAACGCACCTTCCGTTCGGTTCAAACTCATCAGAGCTCCCACCCGTGCATACCCGCCGTAGCCGTGTTAACGCGGATACGTTTTATATGCGCTTTTCTTTTTGTTTTGGCTATTCCACAAATTGGCCGACTGATAAATTCCGCCACGGGCTGAGCCAGCCAAGTAGGACTCAATTATGCGAGATCAAATTCCAGTAAGCGGACTGAACGGAATTATGTACACTGGGAACATTCGGTGGATCTAGCCCCGCCCATCACTACTGGATTGGTTTGGAAGGTCGGTCGAACACTCTAACAAGCCTATAGTGTCTCCCTTTCGCGATATTCAGTGCCTCCAGTTTGGCGTCTGACACCGCCTGCTGAGCGTGCGAGCTGACGCGCGGCAGGCTCCGTCATAGTCTGCTCTTTCGCCACCGCCTATCGTCGTCTGCAATGCCCGTAAGACGCGGACATGAAAGCTGCTCGTCGACGTCCGCTTTCGCCTTTGCCCATCTGCTATTCCACCATGTCTAAAAACTTCTGTAACGCCCACAAGATGGGACCATGAAAGCGGCGTTGTAGCGTTCCATCATGCAGGAGCCATAGTCCAATGCGGAAAGTAAGTCGTCTGCTTCTTGCTCAGGTGTTTCAGTGACGTGAGAATGACACCGAGTTCTGATTGGCTCTGACTGAAGGACAGTGGGTAGACTTTAAAACAAGCTGCCTTGAGGTCTACCCACTATCTTTCAATTCTAACCAACCAGAGCTCGGCGTTCTGACGTCACCGTAACCCCCCCAAACGAAGCAGACGAACTTGCGCTCCGCATACAAGCGTCTTGGACCGTGGCTCGTGCATGATGAAACGCTAAAATGCCGCTTCCATGGTCGTGTCTTGTGAGCGGTAAAAAGCGGCCGAGAAGACTAACAAAAAGCAACAAAAAAATATGCAGTACAATCCAGCTTTTTCTATTATTATTATTATTATTTGCGCGTGGCATCCGCGAGCGAGGTAAGTGAGAGCGTCATGACGCACAATTAAACCGCGGCTTAAAAACATTCGCTTCGGCAGGCCAGGTGCACTGCAAAACTTGATTTTCGAATCGAAATGACCGGAACATACTTGGGAAAACTTGACACGGGCCTATCGCCCGATTGCCTCCAGCCAAATGACTCGGAAATTCTTACCTGTGGAGGTATCTTCGGTATTGAAAGCAGAGTTACCATCACGACGGTTGCACAATTCCCAGAGCAGCGGGGCCGTTTTTACGGGAACCAACATAGTCATTCAGCATCAACGCGCGCAAACGAATAAACCAAGCCAGATCGAGCGACATAGTTAACGTGGGATGATAGGCTTAGGCCAGTCCCGCTCCGAAAACAAGCACCCACACAGGGCTTCCGAAGGCCCGTACTTGCGACATTTGTTTTTGGCGAACTACGCCGGTTGAGAAAGTCGTCCTCCAAATACCTCGGTGAACGCAAAACGACTTGCACTCAAAACAACTTTCTGCCTTTCCACTTTGGTGAAGAAAGAAGAGCAGCTGAGCTGCAGCTTCTGCTCTCGGCGGCGGCTTTTCAGGCGAGCGATGTGCTCTTCTTTGGCAAGGAAATCTGAAGAGCTCGACGCAGTGGAACTCGAGGCGACAGCGGCTTCGCGGCGGTTGCGGACCCATTCGTGCTGCTGCGTACGTCGCCTCTCCTTCAATACCCAGTCTTTTTTCCCCGAAAAAAGGGCACGCGGCCGACCAATCGTGAGTCCAAACCGAGGCTGATAAGAGCGTAGGAAACTGCGCGCAAAACAGACGAGGACGAAGAAACGCACGTGACGTGCGCTGCACTCGTCAAGTGTGTTTCTTCTTTGTCCTCGTGTGTTTTTCGCGCCATTTCCTACGATGAATCCCCACTAACTCGCCCAACTATCCATTCTTGTGTGATAGCTGGAAAGGTTGCCGCCATCTATGAGCGACGGCGGCAACGAGACTGGTTGTTTGGTTGCAGCCGTCGCTTTTAGATGGCGACGGCTGCAACCAGACTTATAGATGGCGGGTCGCTTATAGATGGGATGGGGTTGTCCAGAGGTTTGTGTAGATTTGTATCGACATTTGTTTGATACCGAACACGATCCTGGGGAACCTAGCCCTTAACAGCTCCGCTGTAAAAATAGACGAGCTTGACTCGTTGACCACTGAGGAGACGCTGGGAGCCATCTGCTTCACACCAATGCGGAAAAGGCAATCTTGGGATAATTTTGAAAACAACAATGACCTTAGCTACGTTATTTGTTTTTTAAACATAAACATGTTTACGACAAACACGCTATTACGGCACGGAGAAACAATTTTACGACCCACAATTCACAACCACTTCTCCAACCAATGAAAGCCAAGAAATGGAGCGTAGTTAATTACGTTCTCGGGCGGGTCACCTCCGCTCCACTTTGAGTGCGTATAATCACGTAAATATTACGAAAATCTTTTTTTTTTTCGAAAACAAAATACATTTACGTATCTCACAAAACTTTCTAACGAAGTTGTTTTCTTTATGTCAGTGTTTTTATATGCGGTCGGAGGCTAGAGTAAGCACCTTCAAATGAGTTTCTCTGTACAGCGGGAAGCAGAGCGGTCGATGGCTCTTTGAAGGGACCCCCTAAATCGCTTCCTGAACGTATCGAGCTAAGATGTTTTATAGAGGTGGCTCAGAAACCCGCACTAAGTGTGGAAACATATCATTTAACTAACTTTCGCGAGTAAAAAGTTTGAAATAAAAAAACTTTAAATTCGTGCCCACGGCGTTCGTCACGCCCACATTAACCTGCGCGAAGTTTTGGCGCGTTTCCAAGAGAGTTCCTCTAAACGTACAAGGCACAAAGTGCGGTGCCCGAGTGGCTTCCACTAATGTAAACGCTTTCAACTGTACAAAATGTTTACACTCCAGTGTGTAGTTACGAATTCATTAGTGTGTTTGTCATATTTTGTTCCTTTGAGTGGCGTGTTTTATTCCTGTATATCATTAGCACGTCAAATCGGACAATAAAGCGAGAAAAAAAACAAAAAAAACACAAGCGCAGGATTTGAGATGTTCTTCAAGCTAGCTTCCAGCTTCGTATAGACCGACACGCGGCGCGGTTTTGTTTACCAACACGGCCGGAAGGCCGCGCATGTGCAGCAGCTATGTGGGCAAAAGCGGCCAGGCTCTCCATGTTTTCACTATTGCGTTCTATGGCGTGCGCTCGTTGTTGACGTTGTAGAGACGCTTTTAGCTTTATTTGTGCGTTCTATTTCTTGTCAACGTATGTCTCATCTAATGGCCGACTAATTCATCTCGCTACCCGAGCCTGAAGGGCAGCGGTATGGAGACAAAGAGCGCGTGGACGGCGTTGCCTTCGACGATCCGTACGACGTACACAAGGCCTGGTGCAGTTCCGACGTGAAGTTGCTGCCACCGACGTCGACGGCTCATGTCGTCGTTTATTTAGTTTTTTCGCCAAGCCAGTTGACGGCCGACACGGTGCAGGCGTACAGGTCTCTCGAGGCCTACGATTACTTCGAGCCGAGCGGGATCAGCAGACTTCGGGTCTGCTGAAGTGTATTTATTAATTGATTAAATACGCACAGCGTCTTCGAGTAAAAGTATGATATTTTTCCTACCCTCCTGACCACAAGGCATGACAAGCGGTAACACTTTGTCTGTCCTGCAGTCTTGGCGGTAACACGTTACAACTAACGACGTTACCGGTAACGCGTTACTTTTTTCAGTAACGTAGTAACGCGCTCGTTACTTTTTCAAAACAGTGAAAGGTAACGTATTTACATTACTATTTCAAGCAACGGGTAACTTAGGTACGTTACTCGTTGCTTCTTCTCCCAAGTCTTAAAGGATTACACTTCAATTTTTTCCGTGTTTTTAGGCGCCAAACCATGTGAATTTCTGGGTTTTCTGCGCTTTTCTTTGCATTTTTTCACGTGAGTATTTAGGTGAAACCGTAAAAAGAGATGAAGTAATTATGGTCAGTTTCTGCATGAACATAATGTTTCTCAAAATATGATTTTATGCGTACCTGTACGTCAAAACTGTAAGACGAGTTAAATCATAATTTTAAAAAAGTAACGCAAAAGTAACACGCGTTACTTCTTATCGTTAACGGTAGCGCGTTCCTTTTATTAGCAAGTAACGAGTAATGTATCTCGTTACTTTTTTTCAGTAATGCCTAGAACACTGACGTTCTGTCGCCGATCTTCCGCCTGATAGCGCGGGCGAAGCGAGCCAACGACGAGCGCTGGGCCGGTGCTTTGTGCTCGAACACCTTGGGAACAAAATCCGGGTGGTCTCAATCAGACGACGGTTTTCCTACACATAAGCTAGCCTCAGAGAAGAGATTGAAACCGAAGCCACATTTGCCTTTAAGAAAGTGCTTGCCGCACGAACGGTCGTCCGCGCGAGGCGACCATTATTTTCGATCCACGGATATTATCCACCTTCTGCGCCTTTCAGAGTCCTTCGGAAACTTGTGGAAATTCACCCCGCTACTTTTTTTGTACAACGGCTGCAGATTGCTGAAATGCTATAACGCCCACGCAAAACGTGCGCCATTTTGTCCACACCACCCGGAGTCCGGCGCGATAGCAGCGCCGCCGCAGCTCCGTGACGTCAAGCCCGCGTGTCGGTCTATAAACGTTTAAAGAACGTTTACACAAAGTATAACTGAAAAAAAAAGATGAAGTGTTTTTTTTTTATTTGATATTATGGTTGCATTATTTCACACAAGTGGAACACAGAATATTAAAAGCATTGATGTGGTCCCTAATGGTATGAACTTGATGCAAGAAGCGCGGCAGAGACTTCAGTGAGCATAGTTGTAAACCCGAGACAGGGGATACGAACAAAGGACGAACACGGAATGGCACGGACGAAGAAAGCATTGATGTGTTCCTATTCTGCATCCCCAATCTCGGGTTTACAACTATGCTCAATTTACACCAGCTAGCCTGCACCATCACCATCGCTTAAAAACTTCAGTTCTTGATATCAGAGAGGTCAAATGTTTCTAATGAAACCTACCGTACTTTCCGGAGTACAGTCCGCGGCCGGTGCATAGTCTGCAAAAACAAATTTAGGGTCAAAAATAATCTTTTTTGCTTTGATAGTCCGCATTCAATGCATATTTGCACCCCGTGTATGGTCTGCACGGGGTGCCTAATCAGAATGTCAAAATCCTCATACCAGGCACACCTTGACAAATGCCTTCTTTATTAATTCCCAAAGAAGCTTAGATCATACAGAAATTAATAATAATATACTCCGTTATTCATAAAGTCTTTCACACCTTGTTACAGTGAACGATCTAGAAGAAACAAACACGACCTTGTATAGTCCGGATCGAGAAAAATTTAATCTTTTAAACATGTATAGCCTGCGGGCTATACTCCAGAAAATAGGGTAAATAAAAAGATTCACATTAAATATCACTATCAATTCCTTTTTATCCTCTATCCCAAAAACCAAACTCTTTCTCGCGTTAAGAAAGAAAAAAGAAAATAGTTAGTCCCCCATTACTGATAAGTATAACCCGCTTAGTCGCGCTTGCCGGTTTAACGCAAAAAGCCCTTGAACTCCCGCTATAAAAATTAAAAGATCGGAAGAATACGCTTCAGCCAATTGTAGCTTCGGACCACGACGCACCAAGCGGGGCTCCTGGTGACGTCATCGGACTTCCTATGTCAGCTTCCGTTTTGCCGTTTCTTAACGTAGCGCGACTTTGAAGTCAAACTCTTTGCATCCGACGACAGTGCCGCCATCTATCGCCGCAACCTTGAGGTGCATATTTCCGTCCTGAAAAAGTGAGATATTTTTAATAAATTAAAAAAATATATATTGGCAGCAACCTTAGCTTCTAAGTCCTATGACGTATAAAATGAAATATTAAAGGAGTGATCGTTTAAATTTCTCAACAGGCATTTAATAAGTTGTTTTGGGGAATGAAGAAGAGCTTATTTTATTTATCTCCCCGCTAAGTTTAGCGGCGGAAACTCACTTGGTACACAGGCCACGAGACGTCAATATTTTCCGCAAAATTTAGTGAGGACAATGAATTGGTGTATACGCCTCATGCGGTAAGGTCACGTGCCATCGATTTCGCAGCAAAAGTTGGCGGAGAAACTTAATCAGTGTTTTCGCCATGGGGCGTCAATTTCTCCGCTAAATTTAGCGCAGCGACTAAATATGCTCATACGTCACGTGACGTCAATTTCTCCGATAAATTTAGTGTGGGGACCGAATTTGTGCGTAGGTCACGTGTCGTCGATTTTGCCACTAAATTCAACGTGGGGACTAAATTGGTGCCTAAGTAACGTGTCATAAATTTCTCCGCTAAATTTAGTGTGAAGTGTAGGGACTCACGGAGGGACGAACTGACAGCATATTGGGATTGGCATGGTTCCGTTAGAAAGCATCTGATGCTTTCAAATACGAATATGCCCTCCACAATGTGCCCTTCTGAAAGCCTGAACTCACCCCAATGAAAAAGGCAGCCAGAGAAGGTATTTTAAAGCTGAGGCTGCTGGAGTAGCTCGAGGCTGGGATCGGGCACTCGTTGTTCCATGGCTGCCCTATCTGTCGTTCAATCGACGTGGTACCGCCGCATAGCTTGTACACACTGCAAGGCAAAAAAAAGTCGGTTGTCTCACAGCTCAACTTAAAACAGTACTGTAAAACCCTATATTTTTGCGGCCCCTATTTTTTGCAAATCGGTCATAAAGAACATGATCGCGGCCATTAAATTTCGCGAATTCCAGACACCTGCATTGAAACTCTTAAGGATCCAAAGTTTTGCGTGCCCTTGAATTTTGCGAATTTTTACGTGGTATGGCCTGCGGGCTATACCACTTTTCGCGAAATTCGCGGATATAAAGGGCTCGCAAACATGAAACATTTTATAGTAACAGCTGAAAAAAAAAAAAAAAAACTTCCGGGAAACTTGGTTTTGAAAACTATAGTCATGGCAAGTATGAAAAATGCTCCCAAAAGGTAAGGAAAGCAATACTTCCTGTGGGACCTATTTTGAAATGGGAAACAATGACCTCAAAACATGTTGCCGTGCTGATTTTTTTTTTTGTTGTTGATAAACGAAAAATAGAAAATTACTTTAACGTTCTGGCGTGAACATTCTAAGTGTATGCGGAAACTTGAGACTTGAATGGTATGACCCGCTGGACGAAGGAAGTCCTCAAGTGTTATCGTCCCAGTGTCATATATTCCTCGCAAAGGTTTTTTTTTAATCTGGCATTTCGGCGACCGCTGACTTGATTCTGTTATTGGGAGGAGAGCCGACTGAGTCCTGGACCATCTTTGTGGTTACGGCCGATTCCTTTGAGTGTAAGGCGCCGATGGCTTCCCATACTCTGAAAGGACATCAACAGGTGTACTCATGGCTGTAACCGACACTGCTTCCAAGCCTCCTATTCCATGCTTTACGCCTAGGTATCCAAGTGCATCTCCCTGCTTCTTTTCGTTGTCAAATAAAAAATGACCGCACTTCAACAAAGCATGTGATTACTGTGTTGGGAGAAATTAGCGCGATTAAGATATACCCATTTGAAAACGGGTTCCTCGGGAAATTTCTTTACAGCGAGGCTGTCTATGGCTAGGTTCTGGCGCATCATCTCCGGTAACAGAGTGAGCGTAGTCCAACACTTTTCAAAAGCAACGATGTATGTACCATTTTAAACACCTCTCCACCGTCGCCGCCTCTTTCCCGAATGGGGTATACGAAAGTCTCTTTAGTGTATACTCCTCGCCACGAGGGGCATCTCTCTCCCCCTGACATTGCGCAATGCCGCGCGCTCTTCGGCGGCCACCTGTGCAGCGCTCTAGAGCCTGCGCCGTGATTCGCGTAGCCGCGCTATAATAAAACGTCATTGTCTCTACCAGAGCGCCAGCTTCGCTGGAGCCCTTCCCGCTTCACGGCGTGGAAGGGCTCCCAATTTTTTCTTACCCCTTGAGATATTTGTTTTCTACTTGCCACTTGGAGCCATTTTTCCCGGGTCAAGCAAAACCCGGGTAATTGGGTTCAATCCCCACTTCTGCCCAGTTAGTTGTGGATGAGCATCTTACCGGCTTTCAGTCGTGTGCTCCTACTGCGTAGTGCACGTTGAAGACCGCAGGTCAGCAGTCACACTGTACTGAAAATTTGTTTATCTACAGCGTATACCAGTGTCACGGCACATCCAACGCGCACCGACCTTGTGCGTCAAATTTCGTTGTTGTTCTTTGGGTTATTTTTTTTTTTTTGCGGGACCTTTTTTTTTGGGACCGTTTATTCTGGGTACATATTTACCCTGTACCTCTCGCAGTCGATTCATATCAATAGAGGTAAGATTCATACCTGGCTAACATTCCTCGGAAAGATAATTTAATATTATCGAAAGTAGTTTATTACAAATAACATTACTAACAAACCAAGAATAATTCAATATGACTATTGGTTAATTTCAGAAAGAAAGGGTATTGCTTCGCAATTCCAAATTCCGATTCAGGTTTATCTGGCTTTCATTTACGTTGCTTTCAACATTTTCCCGTGCAAGTGCATTTTTCTCTTCCTTTCCAAACGCTGAGGATTTAGAAGCGGTGATTTAAATTCGTTACATTTTAGGGCTTTGTTTCATCTAGTTAGCTTATTTACTCTTTGTATGATTTTGAACCTGAGTATCATATATCTCTTGTTTATGGCGTAACACCATTAATTGTGTTAATTAGTGTTCTTTTCCCATCACGGCAGAGACATTTATTTTTATTTCACATACTTATCTCTCAATAAATTTCTCACTTCACGCATTTCTCATTAGTCATATACTAAAATTCTTATATGTCCTATATATGCCTGTTACAAGAAAATAGGGCTTCTTATGTACTTCTTATATCGCTCTGGTAGTTTTTAAATAAATCACATAGTTTCTCGTAACTTTTTGTAATGCTCATATACTTTCTTGTACAAAAATAACATAAGATGTTGAAGAAGGGAAGCAACGATGACCTGTCAGTGGCAGTAGGCCCAGAAAAAATCTTAGGGGCTTAAACCGTTATTCATTCTTGAAATGATCGACATGGGTTGCGCTAAATATTCACTGTAATAATCACAATTTTATCGATAATTTCTTTCCATTCTGGCAATTGAAGCCGCTTTTGGTTTATAATTCTGTGCTCCTCTACGGGAGCAGAGACGTTTCCTGATCTCTGCGTCCATAGTCAGTACTTGTGAACTGTCGGCACTTTCAAAGTCCCGTGGGTAGGCAGAAGGGCAATGAGGCCGACACTTGGTGTATGTTCACCCGTCAACGACTCGATAGGCCCTTTTCACAAAAGAGCCACAGGGAGATAGATGCTTTCGCATTTTGCGTCCTTGCAAACTTCTTATCAAATGAAAGGGCAATCAATACCCACCACAGAATCGCTCCTTGAAACGTTCATAAAATATTTAATGCCCTATTCTCCAAGTGTTTTACTGAAAGATCGGTTAGCGAGAAATTGGTGAGCGGTGTATGGATACCCCTGTAATACAATCAATCATATCGTATACGCTAAATAGTAAAGCATAAAGAAATTCGGTAAATCTGCAATTTTGTAATTTGCACTTCACCGTCCTCTAAATTTAGACATAAACAAACTCGGGAGGCCTGCCAAATTATAGCGACTGGAAGTTTCTTGGGAGTAATGCGGATTCTTGGGCGAGTTGGAACTGAAACTTGGAGAACATAATAGCACTTCACGACAGGGTCGAAGAGTCCCTGTCGTGAAGCCCATTTTATGTTCTCAAAGTTTCTTGGGAAGCCACTGTTTGTAAAATTGAAAATTAGAAAAAAAGAAAGTAGGAAAGTCAGGATCTAGATTTGCTTTTAAGTGGTTAATATTCCGTGCACTATGCATGCTGCTGTATCTTACGTGAGTATTGCGCCTTAATTCTACCCATTTAAAACCTGCCGCGGACTGGAAATTTGAGCCCACGCAGGGCCTAATAAATGAGAACGAAGAGACAATTAGTAACATAAGACGAATAACAGCTCAACTACGAGGAAAAACTGAAGAACTAAACGTCAGTAGGCAGTTACAAGAAAAGTATAAAACAAACAAGGAATGCGTAGAAAACAGGAATCAAACGAATGACTTACCACGATCCAACGTCTGAAATGCAAGGAATTACGTCTCCTGAAGCTTTTTTTGTCATTGTGAATTGTAGCTCTGGAGAGTTTGCGAGACTGGTCATCAGCTGGCCCGAGTACGCAAAGATCATCGTTTGGCCAACCTTGGCATTTGTGATGCTCACGGCGCTGACAGAAAAGACTTGCGCAGCTGCAACATAACCGCAATCATTCAATGCACGGGGCGTTTCCACAGAAAACGTATAAGGGATGACATTGGACAAGGCTGACGGGACCACTAAAACAAACCCAGAAGACAGTTTGGAACGTGCTACCTGAAGGCCTCGATAACTGTTTTATTTCTGACGAAAACTATAATCGCGTGAAGGACGTCATAACCAGTTTCATACTTACAAGAGCAAGACGAAAGGGTTGGAGTCTGCACCGATGCTATGCAGGGCGGCGTGAAGCTCAGACCGCCACAGACAACCAGGAAAAGCATTGCGTAGGCCATGTTTCGTGCTCCGCACTCAACCAACAACCCTCAGAACAATGCAACAGTCTAGAGCGTAGCTTGTTCCCTTAAATATCAAGAAGCAGGGCGCTACTCGTAAACATCAAGGTAGCCAGTCATTGCGCACGTCCCGGTTTTGTTTGAGGTTATCTTGTATCAGGGACGTTAATGGGTTCACCCCGGTCAAAGTTCGCAGTAGAGCATTTAGACGGACAACACTACACTATGGTTTATGTCTGTCGTAAAACTCTGGAATAGCATCCTAATAAACAGGAGAGCGACGTCTGCGGACGGGTTTTTGCCGTGCGGTATCGTGTGACGATGGTCGAATAAAGAGGCGCTGAGACGCTTCGTTCGAGGAGCCGCAATGACGCACTGACACACACAATTCTTGGGCGTCTTCCAGGCCTCGTCGTCACCGAACACTTTCCCACTCCTCTTTTCGGCCTCTCACTAAACGGCTTATCTATCAATCGATCAATGGCATGCATTAAGGCGGCCTAAAGAGCTATGAATTCGCCCTTTGGTTCTAACTTGATCGACGTGCTTCAAACTTCTACTCAATAAGTTTGCAGTGCTCCGCAGGTTGTGTTAATGTTAGTCGACTTTCATTTAAACTTGCTCATACAATTAACTCAAACACAGTGTCAAACTAATATTTTTCAGAAGTAGTTTTATTTTAAATCTTGATTCTCACCATATTTTTTTTTTTCAAACTGAAACCCTTTACGTCACCAATTAAAAGGTGAAGCCAGCGGGCACTGACTCATTTTTGGGGGCAGTAGAACTTATTCCAAAGTAGTTACAAGCAATCTGATGGTAAGATATTAGCTCTGCCGAAGCTTACTACAGTATTAGCTCAGCAGGACAAAAGATATGAGCGAGACTATTTGTTTTCTAGGCTGCTTCCTTGTGCCTGACAGTAACTTCACGTCATTTGCAAGCGCATGGGAATTTGTATGTTAGTTTCGAAATCGCTTTCAGTTTCTTTTTTTTATTATTCAGATACGTTGCATATTATGCCGGGATGAGTAAAGCCCAAGTGCCCGACTACTGAGAAACTGTAGTTTTATATATATATTATAGGGAACACGAAAGCGTGCTGCTGAGCGTGTTCTTTACTGTCCCAGGCGCAGAGCTCAACTGCCCTGGGCAGTGTACGCTCCAATAATGAGGATAATGATGAAGATGGTACTGTGCTCAGAAACACCCTTGCAGCTATCCCTTCTCGGCTTGCAAGGCGCGGTCTCCTGGACGGCTCTTAGGTTGGACGAGATTCCTGACTGGAGCGCAGCACGAACGGTTTCATGCAACTGGCATGTTCCGTTTAGCGCATGATGCGGCGGCCGTCAGTCGGCGTGTCGAGCGGTTCAACGATGTAATTGATGTGCGACGTTTGGGACGTTGCACAATATAAGAACCAAGATAGTGCTGTATAAGCTTTTCAGCGCAGCCTGACCGACGCAGTGAGGTGCGAAGTTACACCAGGTCTCCTGGAGTACAGTGGACAGAAAGGCGTTGTTCGTCGTAGCGTTGTTTTTGCTTTTGGCGGTCCTTGTCAGTGTGAATGCGAGCAAGTTGTTGGCAATCGTTCGCGTTGACGGAAGGCTTGCGCGAGAAAGGGCTGCGTCGACGTTGTATGGGTGCGGGGTAAGAGAGTGTCGATGGCGCAGGTGGCATAACGGGCGTAAAGGAGAATGAAGGGGGAGATTTCGGTCGTGGCTTGCACTGAAGTATTTTACGCAAATGTCAAGAAGAGAAGAATGGTGTGCCAGTTCTTGTGATCAGCGCATATGTACATACTGAGCATTTGTGATAACGTGCGGTTAAAACGTTAAGTTAACCGATTGGTTTGTGTGCGGTACGTGGAAACGAGCTGGTGAACTATATTTATCGCAGCAAGCACGTCTTTGACTAGAAGGGATACAAATACCTTCCCGCTGTCGCTAACAAGGAATCTCGGTGCACCGTGACGTAAGATAACATATGTGTTAAGAAAAACTGAGCGACTTCTGATGCCGTGGCTGTGAACAGTATAGGGCTGTTTCCATGTAGCATGTCAGGTGGTCAATTGCCACGACAATCCAACATTGTCCACCAGATGATTTGGAAGGGGTCCGTAAAGATCAATGCCGACACGTTCGAAGGGCATTCCAGGCCAAGGGAGAGGTGTCAACTCTCCTGACGAGGTGTAGCGGGAAGATCTGCGGCATTGGCATGCTTCGCAAGATGTTACTCCTCTCTGCACTGCCTTGTACATTCCCGGCCAATAGTAGTAAGTCCGAAGGCGAGCGTAAGTTTTATAGATGCCGAAGTACCCAGCAGTTACGTGGTTGTGACAAGCTTCGAAAACAACTTGTCTGAAACTTTGAGGTGTCAGTACACTGTTAGAAAATTCCATCAATCTACGTGGAAAAACCGAATAGAACATGTCCCGTTTTCCGGAAATGCATACAATGTGCTGTTTGCTTTCAAAAACGGGAACTGTACCATATGCATTGAAATGCGCTATTTAGGCAATAAGTATGAGCTTATCCGTATAAATAAAAAAAGCCTTACAAGACTACAGTTTATTGTTGGTTCAACTGGTATAAGCGGATTGAACGCGCCCAAAAGTGCCGGATATCCAGCAATTTTTATGGAACTCTATCAGACCGCGGAGGTACAGAGCCCGTGAGCCGTGTTACGCCACGCGCAGGAAGACATCTCTCACCCGCGCATGCGCAAGCCGCTGCCGGCCGGTGTGGGCCCGCGAGCTGCGGAGTGCTGCTGCCCGTTCGGAAGGCGAGTTCGACGTTGTTATCGCGTCGTCAGAGGCGTTCAGCGGTGCGTAGACGGCTTTGTTTTCCAAGGTACGTGTACGTTAAGTTGTTCCTAACGCAGTGTTATTTTACTATCTCTAAGGGTGCCGTGTATTCCAAGTTCGGGATGCCCAGCGTGTAGCGTCTCGTCTTCCCAGCTGCATAAAGCTAGGCCTTTTATAGTTCCTGATTCGGGGCGGCATACTGCCCGACCCTACTTAGTATTGATGGTATGCTGCGCTGCGTAGTTACGCGGAAAAAAACTGGAGAAATGAAGTTAATGCAGAAGGACAGACAAAAACATGCATGAATTGGCGCAGACTAACAACTGTTTAATTTCTTTCTCTTTTTTCTCCCCCGACCCGTATTTTCAAAATTGCGGCTAAGAAAACGAATGGTTGATGTCTTGAATTTGTTGGCTTCTGAACTTGATGGTGGTTGCTGTAGCTGCCTCTTTGATATACGAACTGGATGGTGTGTTTTTCGTAGCGTTTACCTGGGGTCTGATGTTGGCTCCGACAAGTTTGGTATCTTATGAGTAGATCTCTTTCTTCTTGTCGCAAAGCTAGTGGTAGCTCACTGACGCACGCTCCGTGTCTGCCCGAGGCCATGTGAAAAGCCTCGATTATTTCACGCTTTGTTCTGTCCTTTGATCTGGCCAAGATGGAAGTAGTGTCAAGGAGAGCTTTGCAGTTGCATTTTGAACAATGCGCTGCAAGGTTGCCAGGTGCTTGCAGTTGTCCGCATGCATGGTTGTGCTCCCTTAGTCTCTCGTTAAGGCATCTCCCAGTCTGCCCGACGTAGGATCTTCCACACGACAGTGGTATTTTGTATAACACACCTTCGACACATTCAACAAATTTGCTCCTGTGTTTCACTTGACACAGTGCCTTGCTGTTAGTCTCGTCCACTTCATTGTTGACCCTCCTGCATAATCCTTTGAGCATGAAAGGGGCAGATAGTGACACTCTGACTTCGTACCTTGCGGCGACGTTTTTTATCCTGTGTGAAAAATTGTGTATATATGGCAGTATTACCATTGGTCTTTTGTCCAAGATCTTCTCCTTGGTTTTGCACTTTCCTGTGAGTGTGGAAATACATTTTTCTGCTACATCTACCAGTATGGGTTCAGGATAATCGCTTGCATGTAGTCTGCTTGTCTGCCTCTGTAAACTTTCTGAGACTTTGTGGTGACACGATTTTTGAAATGCTCGCCACATGCATCCTGAGGCAACACTCCTCTTTACTAACTTTGTGTGTCCAGAGTCATACGGCAGAATTCGTTTTTTTCTTCTAGTTTTGTACATCCAGCATGTGTGTCTGTAATCAAAAGTCATGTGGATGTCTAAGAACTGAAGGCTGCTTTTCTCAGGTAACTCAAAAGTAAAATCCAGTCCTCTGTGCGCTTCTCGAAACTTCTCCATGATCTTTGAACGTACCTTGTCTGTTAGTTTGTGTATTGGAAAACACACCAAAAAATCGTCTACATATCTAAAGCACTTGCTGACTCCATTTTTCTGGAAAAAACCCTGTAGTTCTCTATTTCCTTTTGCCATGTACAGGTGGTACTGCCATATATACACAATTTTTCACACAGAATAAAAAACATCGCCGCAAGGTACGAAGTCAGAGTGTCACTATCTGCCCCTTTCAGGCTCAAAGGATTATGCAGGAGGGTCAACAATGAAGTGGACGAGACTAACAGCAAGGCACTGTGTCAAGTGAAACACAGGAGCAAATTTGTTGAATGTGTCGAAGGTGTGGTATACAAAATACCACTGTCGTGTGGAAGATCCTACGTCGGGCAGACTGGGAGATGCCTTAACGAGAGTCTAAGGGAGCACAACCATGCATGCGGACAACTGCAAGCACCTGGCAACCTTGCAGCGCATTGTTCAAAATGCAACTGCAAAGCTCTCCTTGACACTACTTCCATCTTGGCCAGATCAAAGGACAGAACAAAGCGTGAAATAATCGAGGCTTTTCACATGGCCTCGGGTAGACACGGAGCGTGCGTCAGTGAGCCATCACTAGCTTTGCGACAAAAAGAAATAGATCTACTCAATAAGATACCAAACTTGTCGGAGCAAACATCAGGCCCCAGGTAAACGCTACAAAAAACACACCATCCAGTTCGTATATCAAAGAGACAGCTACAGCAAACACCATCAAGTTCAGAAGCCAACAAATTCCAGACATCAACCATTCGTTTTCTTAGCCGCAATTTTGGAAATACGGGTCGGG